TGGGGTAAAAGAAGCCTGCCAGTTACTTGTGTTGAAATCAAACTGGTCCAACCACTATGGAAAGCTGTGTAGAGGACCCTCAAATGACTAAAAATGGATCTACATTGTGACTTAGCAATGTAGAATTGCTAGGAATCTATACAAATGACACAAAAAGATTAATTAGAAAGGAAACCTGTACTTCAATATTTACTTAAGCACTATTTACAATAGCCAAGATATAGAAACAACCTAAGAGGCTCAAACAGATGAATAGATAAAGAAGATACACACACACACACACATACACACATTGGAATGCTATTCAGCAATCAAAAAAGATAAACTCATGCCATTGGTAGCAACCAGGATGCAGCTGGGAGGGATTATGGTCAGTAATATAAGTCAGAAAGAAAAGAAAAATACTGGATGGTATCACTTATAGGAGGAATATAGGAAAACAGAATGAAGTATAAACAGAAGACTAAACTTGAAGGCTGACCATGGATCTGAAGCACACAGCAGGGAAGAGGGAGCAAGAAGGGTCAAAACAGGGAAGGGAAGAGCACAAAGGATTGTGGTGATAGTTCATGAGTGATGTACTTGTGGGAAATTTATGGGGGCTACACTTGAGGGGAGAAATCAAATAGTGTACAAAAATGGACAATGATGTAAGCAAATAAAAAATTAACTAAAAAGAAATATCCTTTATCTTTGTGTTCTATGTTCACTAATTCTGTTAAAGAACTTTCACATTAAGAATATGCTTTCTTTTCCTTCGTGTATATGGATAGTGGAATCCCCCTCAGCATGCACTCCTTAATAATTTGGGGTCCCTGAGTGTCCCTTAGCCACATATTAATAGAACCAACAAAGACAAGGAATTTTCTGACTTGCTCACATGGCTGCAAGTCTATCAGAGGAAGGGTAAAAAAGGGGCAGATCCAGAGGCCTGAGGACATTTGGGGGATCTTGAAAAGACAGGTACTTACCAAAAGATCCAAGCACTGTGGACAAAGTCTGATGAGACCTCAGGCATCACCCTGAGCCCTGAGGGGCCATTAAGAGTGAAATCTAAGATTCCTTAAGAAAACGTTATATTCTGTTCTTATTGTATTTATGAAAAAGGCCAGATTTAATGTACAAATGAATTGATTTTTACTGTGATTGTTTAAATTGGAGAGAAGTTTGAGAGAAAAATACATTTCAGCAACAATTTTTTTTGACATTAGATTTTTGTGCTCATAATCACTTTTGAGTTTTTTACTTTTCACCTGTGAACTGCACTAGATCGCAATTTTATTTATTTATTTATTTATTTATACAGAACTGGGATACAGGTGAGAGGTGCATAGATCCCAAATATTTTTAACGTGTGGTTATGAATTTCTAAACTAACACAGTTTTTCTTCCAATCTTTTTGGCTTGGATTAAAATTTAAAACTGTTTTTTCTAAAACCATGCCAAATGGAAACGGAGAACTTGATTTCCTAAAAGTCTAAGACTCATTTTTTCTGCAACATATTAATTAGAATTCTAACAAAGGATATGACTTCCTGGGCCAGGACCATCCCAGTGACTTGGGACTTCTCCAGTTGATAATCAATAGTTTCCAAAAGAAAGATTTTGATCAAGAGGGGTAAATGACAAGTAACAAATAAAAAGGAGAAATGAACATGAAGCCATCTCAAATCTGGGTAATAACCAAACACAGCTGGGAGGTTGTTGAGAATAAGGTTCCAGCATGCCCAGGCATGTTGGGGCATGCACAAAAGCATACATAGCCCAGAAGAAATGAAATCACACTGGCAAGCCATACCCAGGATTGAAATTCAACCAACCACTGCTTCATAAACTTTCCACCACTAAGAACTGCTTTGACTGAAAACCTCATTTGCATGAAACAGACCTAGTCACTCTCATTCTCCTAAAAGTTCCTGGGGCATTCTGCTCAAGTGTTAAGATTTTGAGTGAGCATCTCCTGGACTGTAGTCCTGAAGCTCTAAATAACATAATACTCAGCTATAATACTTGATTTATGACAATTCTGCTGTAATACTCCTGACAATCCTGCTGTAATACAGAGCTACAGCTTTACTGCTAAGAAAGGAGAGCTTTACCACTCAAGCTAAAACCAGGTTGCTATAACTTTGCCAGACTTCAGTATCCTGGATTATAGTGTTTGTCCCTTACAGCTATTAAAGCACTTGAAACAAAACTGAAAGAATGCCTTTAAAAAAAAAAAGATTTATTTATGCATACAAGAACTGGGGTGCAGGCCAGAGGTATGGGGCAGTGAGAGGATTCACCAGAGACAAAGTGGGGAACAGAACAGGTGGGCTGTCTGAGATACACTGCTGAGGGGAGCAGCGGGTGAGACAGTAGAGGTCTGCTGTGCCAGGTGGGTCACCTCCCTGACTGGGGATTGAACTCATGCTGCAGTGGCTGCAGACAGCTTCACAGTACTGTGCTTTAACCTGTTGTACCACCAGGGCCTTCTTATTCAAGATATTCAGACCAATAAAGCCTTTTGTCAGTTTGACTGCAGCATTTGATAACAATGAGCACCTCAAATGAAGACAAACTTTGTAATATCCATTAAAAGATTTTATTTCTTTTTTTTTACTGTGAGAAAATGTGTATTTAGAATTAGTCAGTTGGTCTTGGTTTAAATGGCAAAATCCACAGCATCATAGGTAGGAGTTAGAAGAACATATGCCTTCTTCTCTCCACTAGGTCTGATAAGGGAGTTCACTTTGGCCATATCAATGTCATGGAGCCTCTTCACAGCCTGTTTCACTGGGTGCTCATTGGCCTTGCCATCCACAATGAATATAGGTGTATTGCCTTTTTCTTCTTTATGGTTAACTGGTTGGTCAAGAGGAACTTGATGATGGCATAGTGGTCAAACTATTTCTCAAGTTCGTTTCTCCTTGGAGGGGGGTGCTCTTTTGGGGATACTGGCTGCCTTTGGAGCCACAGTGTCTTGGGCCCCTGGAAGGTAGGTGATATGATCTCTGTGTGTGTGTGTGTGTGTGTGTGTGTGTGTGTGTGTGTGTAGACACCTTCCTGTACTGCTATCTTGATCTTCAAAGCTTTTGCTTTGACTTGGCTTTGGGAGGGGCAGGGGCTTCCTTCTTTACTTTTAATACCATCTTTGTAAAAAGGAGTTCCTTTAAAAGACTTTACAAGAGCTAGAGAAACTTAAATATTCACCCATATTTTTAAATAACAAATTGCAAGTCTACTAGAAAAAGACTAAGGTAAGCCTGCTGAGGAAAACTGAAAGATAAAGCTTGAAGTATAATAATAATGACCAATATTACTGAGCAATGCCAGTCCTTGCCAACTACTGCTCACATTTCATTTAATTCCCACAAAATTATTGAGTTTGTACTGGTATCATCTGCATTTTACACATTTAATGCGACATGATTATTTTATAACACAGTTGGGTTTGAACCCAGACATTTTCTTTAAAAGTCTGTGCTTTTAATCATTATAGTTTAATAATTGGAACTTTTTCAATATTTTCCCCCAGCCTTTCAACCAGAAAAAAAATTCATTGAAAAGGAGAAACTAAAGAAGAAGGAAAAAAAAAAAGCCAAAGAATCTGTGTGTGACAGAGAATTCTCAGTTAATTCTAGTCTTTGGGCCTGTGGACATTATTTCCCAGAAAAGCTAAAATTACTGATTAGACAAATTGCAAGAGAGATTACGTTTATCTCTGTTCCTTACAGAGATCATGAGAGGTGCTGATAGCCTAATGCTGATTCATTTCTTACCCTGAAAATTAGAAAGTTGTAGCTATCAAAGCTAAGGTTATTGACTCCTCCTGGCCCCTGCATACACTGCCAAGCACTGTTGTTTTGAATGTCCATTTTCTGTGGTAATATGTGTGTACAATACATAGAAACTATCTGGGGTAGTTACGATGGAAACATTAAGAGCTGCCAATTGACTGGCCAGTTAGTGCCTTCCACGTCTGCGGAAGATAATCTCTACCCCTTTCCCTTTACATACTCTCAAGTGGTGGCTCAGAGATAGACAGCCATTTGGAATGTCAACTCCACCATGCTTCCTGCGGTAGTTTATTTTTTTTTGTTAAGCTAATCAGATTTTTTTTTTTGCATTATTCATTTTTGTGCAATAAATGAATAAATCCCCATAAATCCCCCACCACCTTAACACCCATAACTATAACCATGTTCCCTTGTGCTCTTCTCTCCCGTTTTAACTTCTCTCACTCCTATCCCTGCTGTATATCTTAGATGCTTGCAAGTTCTATCTTTTTCAATTTCCCTGTATTCCTGTTATGAGTAAACCCACCTGAAACTTTTCTTCCTTCTGACTTATTTCACTGAGCATGACACCTTCTAGCTTCATTTATGTACTGATCTCTAGTGAGTTTCTCTGGTAGAAAGCATTTCACATATGCTGTCATAAGACACTGTGAAAGGAATTTATTGCATCCTGCTTACAGATTATCCACCTAAGAGCGAAGTATGGAATCTCTTCTGATGTCACCTTTCTCACTCCTCAAATCAGTAGGTTTTACAAATGGCTTTTTTTTTTCTTTTCATTTTACTGCTACCAAAATCAATGTCCTTCTATCATTACACTATAGAAATTTCCATATAATTTGTGACTTTTTAAAAAGCATTGTTGTTGGGTCCCTTACCCTTAAAAATTTCTCAAAAAGTTTAACAACAACTAAAATAAAACTGCCTTGATAGTTTCTAAAGTTAAACATTGCTTGTATTTTGACAGATATTCTTTACAAATCAATAATGAAGAAATAGTCAAGAAACAAGGGGAAAATACCCTTTTCTTTCTTTAGTCTTTTTATTTGTATTTTTGTCCTTTCCTCCTCTTTTTTCTTTCTCTTCCTTAGCCTTAAAGCCAATAGTTTACAATATTAGCAACTAGTAACACTGATTAAAATAGTACATTTTGATCTTGTACTTTCATATTTTTTTCTAATTTCTATAGAAAACAGAGAAAAAGAAAAATGTTTTTACCTTTCCCCCCTTTACAGTGAATTACTACGATGTTTTCCTTATCTTCAGCCAGCCACTCATCTACTTCCTTGGAGAATTCCAACATCACACTAGTATCAAAAGTAAGATATTTAATTGAATTAAAAAGTTTCCAAAAAATCAATCCCAATGTATTATCTCTTCTGACAGCCCACTTGCTATAAAACTTACCTTAGAGAGGGAACATTATGATCATCAATCAAGATTCGATGAACATTATAATGGAAATACTTAGGATCATATGCTCTTTCACCTAAAATAAATGATACATAGGGCATATCTCTATGCCTAATACAGTAAGTGAACAAGTCATTAATAAATTACACTTTTTGTTAGAATTTTCTTATTCAAGTTTTTAATGAAAGAACATTTCTGACTGGTTCCTGCTACTCTAAAAGAAACTCAACGCTTCAAAACATAAGGAGAGTAGTAATTTGTTCATCTTGAGTAACTTAAGCTCAACTTATTTTGCTTTGTTTAATAAGATTTAATTTCCAACAAGATTACTCATTACATTATTATAGGGTAGCTAGAAGCCACAGAACAGAAGAAAGTGTGGGCAACCAAAGTATTTACTTCCTAAAATATCTACTTAACATATCGGAAGAGGAAAAATCAAGAGAGACAGAGAAGTAAGCTGTTTTCACTATGATGGGGATTGTTTTCCCCCATCATTTAGAGCTCTGCTCTACTCACGAGTGTAGATACCACTGTTAGTGGGTTAAAAAATGCATTTGTCAATTTTAAAAGCACAAACTGGCAGGAAAAAATGGAACAATTTTTTCAAACCTAACAACATTAGAACAGGTTCATTTGAAAACGGTTCTAACTCCATTCTAGGTTTCCTCACAAAACAGCATTTTAGAGCTATCTTTTCCTACCAGCAGAGCATGCAAGATGGAGATTTTTAAATAATCTTCCCATTACTGCCAAATACATATGATAGAATATCAAATACATATGATAGATTATTTAAAACTGTATCATCTAAAAACTATATCATCTTCTTACATGCAGTGATTGTTTTCTATATATAGTAACAAAATATCTACTCATATACATACTGCATAGATTGTAGACTCGATAGTGGTTTTGATGCTTGGTATCCAAGAATCGGGCAACTTCCTAAAAAAGATGGACACATACATGCATCCACATGACATCAACATAAACCATTTCCTGGGAATAACTGAAAATGATCATTGCTTTTTATCTACTTATTACTTAGAAATAAGCAATAAGGGTGGGATATGAGAATATGAACATTCTGAGTTATGGTGGCCCAATGACTTATAAAATTTTAAATAAATTTTAAAGTAAAATTTTACTTATCCATCTAAAATACATACACAGATCATATATTTCTGTGCAAAACAACAAAATGAATATTAAAATTTCAGAAAATTATTAGCATAGTACCATCAGAACATTTACTTTTAATATTGAGAAAAGAAAAATTAATGGGTCAAAAATCATAAACATTAAATTGGTTACAACTGTCAGGAGGAAATAAGTCAAAAAGACACTCATAGTCTGGATAGTACTAGAGTAGGAGTGATAAAAAGGTTATACACATAAAAAGTATGAATGGTTTGGAAATTTTTATATCTACAAAGCAAGCATAAAGTTTAACAGATTAAAGCAGCAAACTTTACTAAAGCTACACTAATTAGCTAAAGAATATATATGTATATAAATGTGTGTGTGTGTATATATATATATATATATACGTGTAGCCACCATAGTTTTCCCACCACCAAAGCACTATATTCTCCCACCATAGTCCTCTGCATTCTTTTAGCCTCCTGTCTTCACTCTCCCCCTTCCTGCATACCTTAGATCAATAAAATGTCCATAGAGTTAAAGCAAAAGTAAATTAAAAAAAAAGAAAAATGAATTTAAACATACTACTCAGAAACAGTCATCAACCTCAACAAGATGAGAGAAAAAGAAGTAACAGAGTGAAACCAAGAAAACACCCCCAAAAATTAACACAATGATAATAAATACATACCTATCTGTTGCAGAACCACAGAGGGGTGCGCTGACTGCTAGGTTCACTCACCGCCCGAAAATAGGAGACTCCGAGCCTCAAAAGAAACTAAAGCAGGAGCCTGGGGTCTGAAGTCGGAGGTCTGTTTATTAGGACTGCCCATGGGTATATATAGATTCGGTAGGTGCAGGGAAAAACAGGAAATGTGCCCAGTTAATGTGCCCCACGCAGGGGGTAGGGTGCATGTTTGTACCAGACCTAGGGTCCTGTAGCTTCTGCTTGATACAAAGTAGTGGGCTGCAGCTATTTGCAGGACAGAGTGCACTGTGCTCTGCTGACTTGTTTGTTGGCCTTACTGGGGAGTGTGCTCACCTAAGCACAACATTAGCCAGGGCCAATGGTGCACTTGAGGTCCTGCAGAGTAAGCCACACCTATCAATAATCACCTTAAATGTAAATGGACTACATACAAATACATAGAACAGATGAACAGATTTTTTTTAAAAAGAGCAAGCTACATTTTGATGAAAGAGACTCATAGGTACAACACATACATAGACTGAAAGTGAAGGGATGGGAAAAATACTCTATGCAAACAGAGGTGAAAAAAGCTGGTACAACTATACTCACATGACAAAATACACTTTAAAACAAAGACTAATAAAGGCAAAGATAGACATTATATACACTCATGTGCTGTTTCATGATGTTTTAAGTCAACCTTTAACCACACATATGATGGTGACCTCAAAACGTTACACCATACAGACTAAGTATGTAATAGGATATACCACCTAGATTTGTATAATTATATGCTATGCCATTCATACAATGAAGAAATCAGCTAATGATACATTCTCAGAATGTATTTCTATTGTAAAGTGGCACATGACTGCAATGATAAAGGAATCAATCATCAAAAACACTTCATAGTCATTAATATGTAAGCACCTAACAAAGGAGCATAAATACTACAGATTAAAAGGGGAAAATTGACAGTAACACAATAATAGTAGGTAACTTAGCACCTTGCTTACAACATTGTATAGCACAGATCTTACAGACAGAAAATCAGCAAGGAGATGTTGGTCTTAACTGATACATTTGGCCAGACTTAATATGTACAGAACATTCTATCCAAAAGCAGTAGAACATAAATTTTTCTCAAGTGCACATGAAACATTCTCAAGGATAGATCATATGCTGGGACACAAACCAAATCCCAACAATTTTAAGACTGAAATCATATCAAGTATATTTCACACTACAATGCTATGAAGTTAGAAATCAAATACAAGAAGAAAGCTGAAAGAATACAAAATATGTAGGGACTAAGCAATATGCTGTTAAGCAACTCCTGGTTCAACAAATCAAAGCAGAAATAAAAAGATAGCCAGAAACAATAAAAAGTAAAATTCCTTTGGGATGAAAGTTGTTGGGATGTAGTAAAAGGGTACCAAGAAGGAAGATTATAGCAATAAAAACTTATCTGAAGAAACTAGAAAAAGCTCAAATAAACAAACTTAACCTTAAATCTAAAGGAACTAAAAAAAAAAAAAAATCACATGAAGCCCAAAGTCAATAGAAGGAAGGAAATGTTATAAAATCAAACAAAATACAAGTGAAAATGATAATACAATAGATTAATGAAACTAAAAGCTAGTTCTTTAAGAAAATAAACATGAAATAATTTTGAAATTGTCAACAATTTAGTAAGCTACAAGAAATGGATAAATTCTTCAAATGTAAACTCCTCTAAGAATGATATTATAAATATCACTAGAAAAATAATGTTAGAAATGTTAGAAATAATATAGTAAAATTGCAGGTTACGAAATCAATAAACAAAAGTCTGTTCTTTACACAATGAGCTATCAGAAAGAGAAACTAAGAAAGCAATAATAGTTATATTTGTATCAAAAAGAATGAAAACTCTAGGAATAAACTTAATCAAGGAGGTGAAAGATTTGCACACTAAAAACTAAAACACTGTTAAAAGAAATAGAAGAAGAAACAAATAAATGAGGGCAGTCTATTTCATGTATCAAAATAATTAAAAATGGCATTTTACCTAAAGATACAGTCCTATCAAAATTCCAAAGACATTATTCAAGAAACAGAACCCTAAAATATGCGAGGAATCACAAAAGCTCTTGAATAAGCCAAAGCAATCCTGAGAAAAAAGAATAAATGTAGAGGTTGCAGGACATCAAATTACACTACAAAGATGTAGCAATCAAAAACAGTATGGCATTGTAAAATAAAACCCAGAAATAACCACACATATATGGGCAACTAATTTATGATAATGAGCCAAGAACATACAATTAAAAGGAAAGTCTCTTTGATAAATGGTGTGCTGGGAAAACTGGACACCCATGTAAAAGAATGAAAGCAGACACTTATGCCATATATAAAAAATTAATCAAAATGGCATAAAGACTTGAATATAAGACCTGAAACTATAAGATACACAAAGAAAACAAGTAATAACATTGGCATTGGGATATTCTTGTGGATTTCTCCCCAAAGGCAAAGCAAAAATAAACACATGGTACTGTTTCATTAAGCTAAAATGTTTTTATGCAAAACAAAAAGGCAACTTACTGAATGGGAGGAAATCAAGCATCTGACAAGGGGTTAATGACACAAGCTATGCGACCTCTATCGACTGACATATTCCAGATAGAGACAGAAGTGCTCTGAAAAATCAGACTTTCCACGCTAACTTATGTTATGACCTCCCTTTTTTGTATAATCATAATTTCAAAATATTCTGAGCAACCTTCTGCTTACACTTGGATTGCCTCAGCCTCATAAGGGGCTACCTGGCCCTGACAAACAAGCACTGCACCAGGGTGAGAAATTCCTCTTGAAGTCAAAAGTCATTAAACAACTGGCTGATTAATAAAAACAAATGGCTGTTACTGCAAAGTCTCTCTCACTGCCAGACTGAGGAAGACCCAAATCTTATCACTCTATCTCACACAGCCTTCTATTCAGTTTCTAAATAACCACTCAAGCTTTCTACTATCAAGTGGTTAGATATGGAAATTCACCCAAGTCACCTATGCAGAACTAGTCAGGTTTTCTACCATCTAGACCTCAAGGAAACTCAAACTTTCCAACAAGTTTTTCATAAAAACCTTACTTTAATTTGATTTATAAGAAATTTCCTCTTCCTGCCCTCACTTTACTTTATCTCCCTAGGATGTCTCAATGAGAATGAAAGCCATTAAATAATAGATAATGTTTCAGGGACTTTATTTTTGTTAATCTTCACTGTAGTAAATATAGTAATATTAGTCTTAAACTTTGTGAATCTATGTACCTGTTTTAACCTTGATAGATTGATTTTTAAAATGTTTTAATCTCAACTAAGGGTCAAAACAACCCCAGACTATTCTTAGAAAAAAGGTGATTGTGATCTCAGCCCATTTCATATGCTAATGTCATCCCTCTGCCTGCTTGAAGTATAAAATAAACCTCTGCTGAAGGCGGATCAGGAAGACTTGTACCCCACTCCCGTTTCCGTGTCTTCCTCCGCCCACTCCCCTTTTCTTCCCCTTTTTTTAGAAATCTCCACTCACTGACGCAGTTCCCACCTTGAGACCCTGCCTGTTCTGCCCCCCAATAATCCGTGATGGAGGACAAAGAGTCTTCCACAGGTTAATATCCAAAATAGACAAACATCTTATGCAACTCAGCAATAAAAAAACAAACAACCTGATTAAAAAATGGGTGGAGGGGCCCTCCCTGGTGGCACAGCGGGTTAAAGCACAGCACTGAGAAGCTAAAGTCACTTCTGCATGAGTTCGATTCTCGCCTGCCCCGGGGGAGATCCACATGGCGTGGCAGACCTCTCCTGACCCGCCCGCTGCTCTCCTCAGCAGTGTACTTCATGGATCTGCCTGTTCTGCTCTCCTCTCTGTCTCTGTTGAATCCTCTCACCCTCCACATCTCTGGCCTGTACCCCAGTTCCATATGAAATAAATAAATAAATCTTAAAAAAAAAATGGGTGGAGAATATGGATATTTTATCAAAGAAGATAATACAAAGATAAACACACACATAAGAAGTTGCTCACCATCACTTCTCAATAGGAAATATAAGTAAAAATCACAATGTTAAACACCTTACACTTACATGGCAAATATCAAAAAGACAAGAAATAACAAGTATTCATGAGGATATGGATAAAAGGAAATGTAAATTATATATAGTTATATACCACATACACATACTCTATAATTATAGAATATATTATTATAGAGTATAAAATAGAATATATATATACATATACATATTATAGAGTATAACATAGAATATATATATATCTATACAACAAATCTACCTATAACTTAAATATTATAAAATTATAAAACTATATAAATTTATTATTCTAGGTTAAATGTTACTTTTTACTTTCAATAAGAGGTGAATTTATATTATCATGTAATACATATTTATAGATAATACATATTTGTATACCACCATAAAGATATTCTTATATGTTAATTCATATATGTATTTATATATAAGTATAAAGTATATGCAGTATTATACATAAAGTATAAATATACATAAATTATTCTAAGGGGAAAATGCTTTAATTTTTGTATCTATGAGAGGAATACAGTAGAGACTTTATTGGTAATAACTGACCTCATCTCTCTCAAGGCAGTTTCTCTCTAGTGTAATTAAAACTCTGGTCTTTGATCATATGGTAGATTGATTTTTAATATTTTGAGAAACCTCCATACTATTTTCCAAAAGGGTTGGATCAGTCTACATTCCTACCACCAGTGTAAGAGGGTTGCTTTTTCTCCATATCCTTCCCAACATTTGTTTCTGGTGTGAGATTATATCTCATTCAGTTTGGAGTTGCATTTCCTTGATGAGTAATAGTAGGGATTTTCTTGTGTGCTTATTTGGTCATCTGGATGATACAGCAATTTCATTTCCAGGTAGCTACCTGAAGAATGCTAAACCACAAATTCAAAGGGATATATGCACTCCTACGTTCATTACAGCACTATTTACAGTGGCCAAGTTATAGAAGCAACCTAAATGCCCAAGAACAGAAGAGTGGATTAAGAGTATGTGGTATATACACAATGGAATACTATTGAGTATTAATACTATTCAGTATTAATCTTTTGATATTCAGTATTAGTACTATCAGTATTAATACTATTCAGTATTAATCTTTTAATATATATATATATATATCGAAAGATTAAATCTTGCATTTGGGACAACATGGATGGAACTGTAGGGACTATTGCTCAGAAAATAAGCTAGAAGAAGAATGACAAATACTAGATGGTTATGCTTATCTATGGAATAGAGAGAAACAAAACAAAATGTCAGACAATATCAAAACAAACCTTAGAACTACAACTGTAAATCTGAGGAGGAAGGGAGGTACAATGGACTATTGCAGAAGAGTAGGATGCCTTGCTGTTGAGTGTGGTGTGGGAACATATACCTGAAGAGGTGTGGGAACCAGTATACCTGAAGAAGTGAAATCCTATATTTCTGAAGAACATACAGTGTTGTAAGCAAATATTAACAGAAAAAAAAATTTCCTTTAAATAAGTAAAATATAAAACCAAAATCTGGTCATTGAGAAGGCTTGAAAACCTTAAGTCCATTGAAGTAGTAGGTGAAACACATTTCAAGATATTTATTCAAACTAAAATTGTTTTCTAAACTTTTGTGGTGCTTGAGAAAAAGAGTTTATTATTTATGCAAAAGTGTTGGGTATCTTGGAAATTTTGTAGCTTATTATTTTGTAAAATGAATGAATGCATATGAAGCTGAAATGAGACCATTTCAAAAAAAAAAAAACAAACAAACCAAAACTGGACAGTTCATTGAAACTTTGTTTTCTTTCCTGAACATTTATCAGTATTAAAAAGTTCCTTCAAAAATATTCTAGAATTTGCAAGTGTCAAAGGTATGAAACACTACTGTACTGGCATAAATAAATCTTAAAAAAAAAAAAATATTCTAGAATTTGCAAGTGTCAAAGGTATGAAACACTACTGTACTGGCAGAATTAATATATATTTAAAATAACAGGCTGGAGCTAAATGGCTGAAAGTTTAGAGTTATAATAAGTTGATGCTTTGAATGAATTGAATTTTTTTTTTTAAAGATTTATTTATTTGTGCATACAGAACTGGGGTACAGGCCAGAGACTCAGGGGTGGCGAAAGACTTCACCAGAGACAGAGCGGGGAGCAGAACAGGCAGATTGACGAAGTACACTGCTGAGGGGAGCAGCGGGCGGGTCAGGAGAGGTCTGCCACACCCTGTGGTCACCTCCGGGGCAGGTGGGAATTGAACTCATGCGGAAGCGGCTTTAGATTCTTAGTGCAGTGCTTTAACCCGCTGCGCCACCAGGGAGGGCCGAATTGAATATTTTTAAATAAGATTCCTTGACAGTTAGCATTGTGTTTTCCATATCAAAACAAAATAATTACTCAAAATTCCAAATTTAGAATTTACATATTTAAAGGCATGCAAGCTGCACAGTTTTTCTGTCAAATTTACTGGCCTACAAATTTATACTTGCCTCTTTCAATGTACATTTTGCTATTATTTTAAAATTTTTGTAAAGTAGATTTCAAAGAATGTATTTGCTGCCCTTGTAAAAGGTGTATACTTATGTAATTTCTGTATGTAAACTAAATACTTAGGCTTTCAAGATTCTAGAAAGCAGTAAATATTAATACTATACCATTTGGTATGTGTAGCTTGTTTATGACACTTTCCTGACAAAACTGCCTAAAGATGAATTTGTCAAAATGTATCCCCATTGTTAAGCAATTCATGATTATAGACATATATGTATGTGTGTGTGTGTATACAGTCCATGAAATGACTGTGTGTCATTTTACATTTGAATCAATTACATGACTGTGTGTATAAATATGTATATAGTTATGTAATTATATATATAATTACTGGCACATACTATATTGAATGAATCTTTGGGAATTTATGTTATGCCCATGCCAGCCCCCAAAAAAATGTAGTATATGATTCCACCTATATGAAATTCAAGAAAAAGTAACATAAATTAGAGTAGTAATTACACATGGTGTGTTAGGATAGTGACTGAAAAGAACAAGAAATATTCTATATTTTGATTTGGTTGTTGGTTGTATGCATATATACCTATATATAATTCCATCAAGATACCTACTTAATATTAGTGCATAGTGTACTTGACAATATTTGTTTTGCATCAATAAGTAATTCTATGTAATTATGCATGTATTTATTTAATATATATACTTATTTCAGGCATGTACACATAATTACATACTTACATTTTACTGACATTATACTGTAAATTGCAGTAATTAGACACACACATGTATGTAAACTTCTTAAAACACCTTCTAGCTTGAATTTTATAGTAAGCTGCATTTTACATTTGAGTCTATTTAAACCATATGAATGGTATGCCTCCACTATAATTTAGGATCTGAAAGTGAGAATATACATTTTAGTTAAAAATCCCCACCCTACCCTTCCTCCCTATAATAGACTAAAAAAAAAAAAAAGCCACAATTCGTTGCAATTCCTGCTATGAAAAGATAGTCTATTTTCTACTTCTTGAGTTCAGATAGATTATATACATACCAGTTTTGATTCTGGGCTTTTGAGGACTCTGCATTCTTACGCTCACAGCATGGGATCCTTGCCACTGTGCCCATGTGAACAAGCCTGAACTAACTTGCTACTGAAGGAGACAGCACATGGAGCCATCCAATCAGATCACTTGGTAGATTAGCCAGTCCTCAAATTCCCAGTAGCTATCTACAGAGGCTTGAGTTAGTCCAGCTGAGATTAGTTAAAACTCTCCCAAATCAGCAGAACCCAGGTAAGTGCAATCCAAAATCACAAAACATGAATTAAGTAAATGGGTTGGTGTTATATAAGTTACTATGTTTGGGTGATACATAACAGAGTAATAGCTAATTTATATCAATCCACTATACATTTTTTACCTGAAACTGAATTTTTGCAACTTCTGGATCAGTATTAAACTTACTACACAGTCTATGCTAACTGAAAAGTATAAGCATTTGTTACATAAACATCCTTACCTTTATGGGATTTCTATAGAAAGACTGCCTTCCAGAAGATGGGAATGACATGGCAATAATACGCTCTGGAAGCCAAAATAATTATTGTTATCTAAGCCTTTGTAGAGTGAAACAATCTGAGAACTTAATTTACACACAACTAGACTCCTTTTTTATAGAAAAGAACTTTTAAGAATTGAAAATGACAAAAACAAAAAGCTAGTTAATCGTCAGGATAATCTAAATAAAATTAAATTATCTAATATAATGTCTATTAAAGTTGCATGTGTGCCCACGACTCAGTTGATTCCAGCTGCAGTGGATAGATTTGAGTTGACATCAATCCAGAACTCCCTGTGGTGGCAATTTACTTTTTAAATCCCAAAGACAAAATGAGAAATCTGGGCTCCAGACAGATGGGAACTGACTGGGTACTTTACAAAACAAATACCTATTCATTGGGGTTCTAGGAAGAAAACAGGTCTCGATGGAGTTCTAGGAAGAAAACAGGTCTCCTAGGATTACTGCTAGAACTCAATAAATACTAATAACAACAACAAAAATGGAGTCAGCTGAAAATCCATTCAACTTCTGTACTCTAAACAAGTAGCCCTAATGATGCAGATATTCCATTGTTAGGTTAAACTACAGATGTCACACTACCATAGCAGCATATGTCTTCATGAATAAAGAATGCTTAGAAAGAGCATGAGTAAACATAATTACTCACACATAAGGAAAATGTGAAGTTAATATATAAGTAAATCAACAAACTTGACAAACCAGTAACATAAGTCAGGTCTAGGTCAAATCCACCCTTTTTGTATCGTCGTTTATTTCCTGAAACCTGAAATATTCAAACAGTAAGAATTTGTAAAACATTAACCAACATAAAGTAAAGAACATTACATAGATATCTACAACCCTTGCCATTATTTCCTGAAACACATTTTTCTGAGTAATAGTTATGTTTTGTCTCACTTACCATCCTTCTGGCCACCTTTTCAAGTTGTCTTTTTTGATTAGCCAGATGAAGAATTCTTATCAGAATAATAAACCGTAGAGGCCGAAATAAAATTGTGATTCTAACAATAAATTAAAAAGATCAATATTTTATTAAGAAACAGAGGATAAAAAGAAAAAATAAAAACAAAACACAGGATTCTGCCAATATGAACTAAGTCTAAAGAATGGTTCTTAATCAGGGGCAACTTTGCACCCCGACCCATGTGCTTCCCACCTACCTACCTAGGAATAACTTGTCAATATCTAGAAACATTGTTGTGGTCACAACTGTGAATGTGTCACACTACTTGCATCACATGAGTTGACACTAACAATATTGCTAATCTTCATTGTAAAAGACAGCCTTATAGCAAAAACTATCTAATCCAAAATATCAGTAAGTGCTAAGGTTGAGAAGCTCTGGTCTAGAGAAACAGTTGTATGAAAAAAACCTTAGAATTTCTAGAGTAACTTTAATGGTTTCAGATGAGCATTTTCAGTCTTCTTCCCATCAAGACAAACTACAGTCCTTGTTCACTTTTGTATTCCATGTATAACAGAGGTTCACTATTTACACACGTCAGGCAGCCAGCAGAGTGACACTTCCCTGGGGTGTTCATTTTTGCTTTCTCTCCTACCATCAGAAACACCAAGGGAGAAAACTGACGGCTTGACTAGTGCTTATCTAACTTGA